AGATGGGTATACCTACCCAACAGGCAAAATGATCATGGATATGTGTGAAAGGCTTGATTTGATCATTTGCAACAGTACCGAGAAGTGTAAAGGGCAAATAACATGGGAGGTAGGAAGGCTGCAGTCGACGATAGATTACGCACTGATGTCACATAGGATGTAGGATAAGCTCAGTGGAATGCACATAAATGAAGGTGGCTCCAGAAGTCTGGGTAGTGATCACAAATGTATCAAGCTAAGTTTTGGAAGAGCAGTGAAAGTGGGAAGGAGACAAGATGAGCAAGCAACTACAGGAAAATTTTTATTCAGAAAGGCAAATTGAAATAGCCACTAAACAAATTGAGAAAATAATCACTGAGGATAATACAACAGTGTGGACATACCCGAATATAATTAGACTGTTAGAGCTAGAGCTTGCTAAGGCACGTGACAAGTCACCCCGGAAAAAAAGACACAAAGCCCAAAGTTGGTGGGATGAGGAAGTCAAGGGAGCCATAGCAAAACGTCAAAAAGCCTCTAGAGAACACAGACATGCTAAGCAGCGGGCTGAACCGACAGATGATGTTGAAAGAAAACGGGAAATCTTTCTAAACTGTAGAAGGGATGCATCCCTTCTGATCAATGAAATGTTTAGAAGAAAGGGAGCTCAGTGGATGGCAGAAGTACATAAAAGAGATAGAAAGGCACCTGCGAAATTTTGGAACCATCTAAACTCCCTAAGAAATGAGACGAGCCTAGAGCAGAGGTTTATAACTACAGCTCAAGGTGCTAGGCTAGAAGGGGACGAAGCTATTGAATATATAAGAACAAGGGTGACAGAACACTTCCAACAATGAAGTGCTTTATGCACCACAGTAGACAAGGATGAATCAAGTGGCGCTATGGCTCCATTTTCACAACGAGAGTGGGAAACGGCTCAGAAGAGGGTTCCTATAGTAGCACATCAACAGGCCCAGATGGCATTCCAATTATGCTGATAAAGACATTGGGTCCGAAGTCTAAGCAGACCTTGAGAGAGGCAGTGAGCAAAACAATAATCGATGGTGAAGTCTCCGATGGATGGGAACTTGGCAGGATGAGCATGATCTATAAAGGAAAGGGGGACAAAGCTGACATAAACAACTACCGTCCTATAACAGTGACATCAGTGGTCTACAGGCTGGCGATGCAGATTATAAAGGAAAGACTGCAGGCATGTATAGAGGATGAGGGGGTGCTGGGGGAACTTCTTTTTTTCCTCTTTGTCAACCTTGCGCCACGTATTTCAGCCAAAGGAGGAGATAGGCCGATTATAAGGTGAATTTGCCCTATACTTTCAGCATTGCGTCATTCCTACAAAACGTTTGTAGTTTAATATTGATTTGAAATGCCGATATCAATTTTGCAGAAAAAATAAAGAAAAAGTGAGACCGCAATTTAGCAAGAAAATCGTTTAGTCGCAGTGATGTATTCCTGAACGGCGAATAAAACATCCCTGTGGCTGAAACCTAGTGTAGAGGCTCCAAATGAAAGATGATCAAATTGTGATAATCGCAAGCCCAGTCTTTGAAGAGGTGGTGCTAGTATGCTTTGCCTGAATAAATCGAAACGGAGACAATGTAATAAAAGATGACTGATCGTTTCCTCTTGATTACAATAAATACACACAGGGGAATTCAATATACCTGATCTATGCAAGTAAAAATTGAGGGAGGTCTATTGCTTTTCGCCGCAAGCAACGACGTCTGTCCACGATTTCTAGAAGTTGCGTTTCATTGGGACCTTGCGGTGCAGTTCAGGTAATCGGCCGCGTGATTTCCTGCACAGAGACAGCACTTTTCGGTTTTGGCGTTGCACTCCTTCGATGGATGGGTATCGCCACAGATGCGGCAACGTGAATTTGATTTTCAGCCCCCTGCACTGTGACCAAAACGCCAACAGTTTTGACATTGGAGAGGACGAGAAGCGAGACGTTCGATTCTGAAAATGAGTGGCCATATTTTCAACTCGGATGGACAGGAAGGCCGGCAAAGGTAGTAATTACCGACTCAGTGGGGACTTTCTCACCGTTAACTAATCGGTTGCATCTGTACACAACTATGACCCCAGCATCAGACAGCTTTTCCAGAGTCTCAGCGGGCGTTAATCTAGAGTCGACTCCTTGTACAATTCCCTTAGTGCACGCTAAATGAGGCGGGATAAACGCACTCACCGGGACCGAAGCAAATGTCTTGCATTTTAGGATGTCAGAAACGCATGAAGGATCTGACGATCTGCACACCAAACCACCTCTTCCGAACATCACTTATCAGCTGGAAGTGCGGCGTCATGGCCTGCAACTCCACCTGGATCGCCTTCGGGTTGTTGAGCCTAATAAATCCACCACTCGAGGGCACCAGCGCAACAGGGATGCTGCCAACACCACTGCGGAAAAAATATTCCAATGGCAATTCATCATTAGGCAAGGAGGCTGACCAAGGGCTGTGCCCTTGGCCAGGAGACAAATTAGACATTAGCACTAATTCAATTGCTTAAAGAAGTAATATGCAATGTCAGCTAGTTTCAACAGGTCAAATTACCCCAAGGCCCAGCCAAACCACCGTCCGAAAGAGTTCGAAGAGACCAGCTACTGCAGGAATGGACTCTGACAGGAACGCCAAGAACAACCGCCACGTCCAAACCGGCTGCCACGCCCAGGAAATGCTGGTGGCTGGGCGACGCGTCGAGAAATCAGGCGAACCTAGCCAGGTAGCTATAGACGCACAGCTCGGGCCCGTAGCCCGACTGCTGTTGCTTGCCTGTCGGCTCCGAAGTCCGCAGGCTCTGTGCTGGAGTTCGCGTGTAGTTGATCACGTCTTGACCCATAGGAACGTGACGACAGGATGTCCCGGCCGGTTGAAGTCTTTGATGTTCGGGTCTATAACGCGACGACCCATCTTCAGCGCCAGGTCCGGTGACAACCTTCCCGTCGCCACGTCCTCTTCGAACTCTCCAGCCCTTCCTTGGGTGTGTTCCAATACTCATGGTAGACGGCTAAAAAGACAGCTATAGGCATAAAGTTTCCTAAAGGTAACCGAAAAAATAAGCTAGAAATAACAGCTAGGTTTGTTTGTTTATCTTACCTTTCTTCTCTCGACGCGAGGTGACGTCTCGTCGTATAGAAGCCGTCCAGACATATTCCATTTCCCAGACAACATTGGCTCGGTGTTGTCTTCTAAGCTGTCTGCGTAGATCTGCCTACGAGGTTGTCTTAGAATTGGAACACAACCCTTGAACTCTGGCCACTCTGGTCCATCGCGTTCTCATTGGAGATTCGGCAGTTTCGTGGTGCCCAGTCATTGGCCCCTGGTATCTCCGTGGTCATTGCCCATTGGTTCGCTTTTCTTTTATTTTGTTCCCGTCACGCCACACGTCCTCGTGCTCTCGCGCGAGACGCCCCATTCTCATTGGAGATTCTACAGCTTCGTGGTGCACAGCCATTGGCCTCTGGAATCTCCGTGGTCGTTGCCCATTGGTTCTCTTTTCTTTTGTTCCCGTCGCGCCACGTCCTCGTTCTCTTGCGCGAGGCGTCTTCATCATCGTCGTCTTTTGCCTCGGCCACCGTTCACGCGCGCTCTTGATTCTTTTCCTGTTGCGCACTTTTCCAAGGGCGCGCAAATCAAACGCACACTGCACTGCGCTCGATCTCCCCGGAGATCGAGCGGCGGGCGTGCCTGCACTGTATCGTAAGGAAGGCCAAAGTGCAACACCCTCGGAATCCTGTCTTTACTGCACCTATTACAAATTTTTGTTCACTGCCAACGCTGATCCCTCACGACTAAATACGACGATATGACGACACATACACGTTAAAAGCACACCTTAAAAAGCACAGCACTTTCCAATCGGAACACTGTCAGCTTGGAATCCACGTACATAGCTTCAGTAGTATTTCTAGTATTTGAATGTTAGCGCACATTGTATCCTGTCTATACTTTTCATTAAAGTTTAATTACTGTGTTGATGCACATCTCGCCTTCCTAATTTGTTTAGCGACGCTAGAGTTTACGCACGTAAGCAAGCGGGCGGTTCGACAGTGGTTGCTCAAAAGCGGAAATATGGCGGATGGCCCCGAGGCCGAGGCGTGGTGGTGATATAACCAGCGTCGTCACTGCGCCACCACGCCACTACCCCAACCATTTGCCAGACTATAGCCACCCTAGTCAGGTTCTCGCAGTTCACAGGAATATCGCCTTCAGGTGGCTTCGGGAAAGGCATCATCGGTGTTGCCAGCGTCTGTTCGTGCGTCAGCACGAGTACGTGCGTTGTACCGCTTCTAACGTGCGGCATCTGTACGCAGTCAACTATCGATCCCTCGTCTTCGTGACAATGCGCAAACTAGGGAAAGAAAACAAACGAACTATTTCACAAAAATACAGATATATTATTTTTCATGTGCATGAAGATATAAAATTTTGCACCCGCGCAAACCATGCACTCCGTTGAAGTTGTAGTTTCCGATATATTAGGATCAGCAATTTCCAACATGGTAGGAAAGTCGCGATACGGGATGTTTTTGGGATAAATATCGATGCACATGTCCAAACGGCGTTCTAAAAACTTTCCTGCTGTGGAAAGTTTGGACATTTTTGTGAAGTGCCTGTCATGTCGTGCGCTGTCTGAGGAGAATAGAAAATAACTTTTTGAAAATAATGTATTACCCCCCCCCCCCCTTAACAATCGATATGTGTGTCCCCTCGCCATCAAAATGCCTCATGCTTTGAAAAAAAAAAAAAAAAACGGATATGATTGGAATGTTAGGCGACTATGAGCACGCACATGACAGCATGAAAAAAAATTGCTTGCGCAATTTTTGCAAACTCTACCTCCCCCCCCCCCCCCCCCCCCTCGAGCATAGAGAAAGATAAAAACGTTTTTCTTCTCTATGTCTCGAGAGCACGCGGCAGTGGCATCAGTGCGCAGATTACCCACACTGCCCCAAAAAAACGTCGTTTTCGTTTTCACAACTGCCGTGAGGCGGCTGGCGACAAGTCGACTGTTCCGGTTCCGCCCATCTGTCAGGGACGCCGTTCTCGGGCGAAGAACGGTCTGCATGTAATGGCGAGAAAACTAGGAGGTAAGTCGATAAAGCCGTCGTCCCACATTGTTGTTGCAGCCATTTAGCGACGTGTCATTGATTGCCTATCCCGTTTCGGCCGCTGAGATTTTATTTCGCTCCAACGTTCCAATCCGACCCCTACTTTTGGAGGACTAGGCCTAAGGATTCTAGCCACTTCGATCCACGTTTATTCGAAGGAATCTTCGTGCACTTCTATATTTCTTTGCCACATAAATGATTGGTGCGCGGTTAGACCGCGGTCCTTTGCACTGTGCTTTGGCGGTTTTGCAACGTGGAAATCCGGCGTTGTTCGACTTGAAGGTTTCGGTTTCGCAGATAGTTTATGTTGCAGTGTGGGCGTTGACCTTATGCGCGAAGTAATCACAGAAAGCAAGTGTCGTTGGCGGCTTGGCGATGCTCTGCAACTTTCACTCGTCTGCTTTGACCAACGTAACCATGTTTTTTGAGGGAAACAAGAGTTACAGAATAGCGCAGCCTCTCCAACGCGAATCTGCACGTTTTGTGCAAAAGATGGACGATCGTATCTGTTCTAGCGGCGTCTAAACCATAGGTCGACGAACTCTCTCATCAGTCCTCACTCGGACTCACTCACTTAAATCGAGCCACGAGCCTGAGTGAGTCCGGGTGAGTAGTATTTTTGTGAATCTGAGTCCGCTTGAAGAAGTTACCTGCGTGGAGTCCGACTGAGTTCGGCTCACAAAAATTTTTGCGAGTGGGATTTCGAGTGAGTGTAAACCGCAACAGATATATCTTGAATGAGTCTGAGTGAGTTCCACTTTCCTTTGCCGACCTAAGGTCCTATCTAGCCATCTACAGCATTAATATAAGCCTTACCGGCATTTCTGTTTACACTCACGTCGACTCGGAGGCATTCCAAAGCAGTGTCGTTCATACACCATTTCAATATTTTTTTTTTTATCAGAGGCGCAAATTACGTAGGGGGGTGCCTTGACCTATCGCCCATCAACTTTTCAAGGGAATTTCTGGATAAATATATCTTAGGCTGTCATCTATTCTAAGAAAAATTACCTTACTGATATGCAAGCACTCTTTTGGGTGCACGTTAAAGAACCCCAGGTGGTCGAAATTTCCGGAGCCCTCCACTACGGCGTCTCTCATAATCATATGGTGTTTTGGGACGTTAAACCCCACATATCAATCAATCGATATGCAAGCACTCTAAACTCGCTTTTGAAAAAAACCATGCTAAACAGTGCCAAGAAGAGCACAGATTCCATGAGGTATTTATGTTAAAGAGCGCAGACACCATGGCCGAAGAAGCTAATTCTAGGCTGATGGACTCAAGTGTACTCACTCAGGCTCGGATCGAGCTGCGAGTCCGGGTGAGTAATGTTTTCGCGAGTCCGGTTGAAAAAAATTGTTGCAAGTGCGAGTCTGGTTCGGAAAATTTTTTTGAGCTCAATATTTCATGAGAGTCGGAGTGAGCGCCAACAGTTTTGCCGGCCTATGGTCTGAACAACCAGTTTATGCACATAATCGCCGGCCCTCCGAACTTGCAGCCATGCCGGTCTTTTCGGTGATAATCGGGTGCTGCTCTTTGTGATGAAAGCCGAGGAAAACTGCACGGCTTTCTTTGAATTTGACTTAATACGCTAAAAATGAGAGATATGGAAGCAGGTTAGGTTGTTTCTTTTCTTGCACTAAAACCCAGAAGCTGCTGCTTCATCATATCTTTCTCATTGCTTTGAATTTTCCCCCGCTTTAATTAATGGAGCTGTGCATGATGCGTAAATGCCCTGTGCGCATTACCGAGCGAGCTATTGTGCCTACGCTATTATTTAGCCTTTGAAAGTGAGGAATTCGGTATGCTCTCGTCAAATTCATTCAATTCGTCCTAGAATGTCTTTTTAACTTCTGTAAGTGCATATTGCATAGGATGCATGCTGATGAATGTAGTCTAGCGCTGAAAAATATACGCAATTGTGGGACGCATTTAGCAAAAGAAATAGACCCTCAAAAAGTAAAAATAATGCCATATGGTTGAAATTCGGGGAGCTCTTCACAATGGCACTCCTCATAAGCATATCGCCCCGCTGCAGTGGTCTAAGGTACTTGGCTGCTGACCCGCAGGTAGCGGGATCAAATTCCCGCTGCGGTGGCTGCATTTTTGATGGAGGCGAAAATGCTGTAGGCCTGTGTGCTCAGATTTGGGTGAAACCCCGGGTGGTCGAAATTTCCGGAGCCCTTCGCTATGGCGTCTCTCATAATCATATGGTGGTTTTAGGACATGAAACCCCACATATCAATCATAATCATATTATTGTTTTGGGATGTAAATGACTAAATATTATTACGACAGGTTGCTGTGTGTGTGTGTGTGTGTGTGTGTGTGTGTGTGTGTGTGTGTGTGTGTGTGTGTGTGTGTGTGTGTGTGTGTGTGTGTGTGGTGTGTGTGTAATTTAAGGACTCCAGCTTTTGAGGTTGCACCTCATTGTCTTTTTGTATTTCTCTTGCTGTTTCAGTGCGCTCTATTTATGACACTCACAACAATGTTGCTCTGGCTGACGATGAGCACCATGGTCCAGAAGACCTCAAAGAGAAAGTAGGTTTTGTAAATAATGCTTACTGTGTGCTTTCTAGTGGTTATGTATACTGTTTTCAGTTTATAATTGGTCAGCGTAACCAGGCCATTGTTCTGAATTATGTTTCATTATCTGAGCATTCATTAGAAATAGCTGATTACACCACATTTGGGCAAATGCTGGTTAGAGAAATATTAATGCTTTTTTTATCCTTTTAATTGACCTTAAAGTGTAGGAAATGCATGTGAACAGCTATGTGCCAAATGGGACCATGGTGTAGGACAGAGTGATTTGCATACTTTGTTGCCTGGACAGGTGTGTTGTGCAAATTCTACTGTTACTATTGCCAGTTGTGTGTGCTTTTTACTAATTATTTGCTAGTAATGTGGCATGAATCAATGATCAGACCTCTCATTGATTCATGGTGCACAACTTAGCTGCACATTTCCTAAAATGTTTCTCCTATTGGAAAAATATTTTTGCACTTAATGCCCTTAATGATGGTGATATGTTAAGAAAGAACCTGTAACAGACGCACAATTAAATCTCTTCTGTTTGTTTACAATTTAAAAGTTAAAAAAAAAAGTCACTGGGATCTTTTTTCGCAAGATCAGGTGCTTGGGATGATGCCCACATTGTACTATTAGATTCTTTTTCTTGTGATATTCTGCGGAGAAGCGGCCAGAGAAGATTATGTATAGTTGTTTTATCAAGGGTGGAAGGGATTTTATATTTATGAAGCTTGCTCCACTTCTTACACTAGTTCTTAAAGCTTCAACTGCTCCCAGAGAGTTGGAAAAATGACATTATTTGAATACTAAAAAAGATATAAAAAATTATCAAATATACAGGCTCATCAACTTAGTTTCTATATTATACAAAACATTTATTAACATGATTTCTAACCGTGACGAGAGGAACATAGTGTCTTTAAGCAACCCAGAAAGCAAGCACGTTTCTGGAAGGGGTGCTGTTTTGCTATAGATCGCAATTATGTGGTAAGTTGGATAAATGCTAAGTGCAAGAAGCCCCAGGTGGCAGGTTGTTTAAGGGTGATGAAGTTTTTTAAAAAACTGGAAGTGTACGGTGGAATCTGCTCACGCAAGGTTAGGTGAATCGGAGGTGGTTGGGAGAGGCCTTTGGAGGTTATGGGGACTTGCATATTAAATGTGTTTTGCATCTCTGTGCTTCCACTTTTTCTTTGTTTTTTCATCCGTAAACATTGCCTTCATTCTTATGACCTTCCTGTGTGTGTTTGTTTACATGAACAAACATGTGTTTGCACTGAGTACAGCTTGTGAACAGTGTTTTTCATAAATATTATATGGAATTGTAGTTGTGGCCTGCGTAGTGAATGAACATTAATATTGTACGACATTGCATATTACATTGAGGTTGGGAAATAAGACAGCAGTTCACACTGAATTACTTGTGTCAATAATTCAATTAATTTCAGTTTATTATTTACATGGACACTGACTGGGGGTGGGGGTGCAAATGGGGCACTTACCCCCCTCGAGCCACACCAGGACTTGCCCCCGCTCAAGCCAAACCAATGCTTTGCCCCTTCCCCAGTTGTTGCAAGGCTGGTTTGCACCCCCCGAAAATGAATCCTATCATGCCCTGATATCTCCAATTTCAAAAAAATTTTCCCTCATGTTGGAGGAGATTTTTTGCATGCTTTGTGAGGTGGAAATGAGTCATTTATTAAATTTTACGGAGGTAGGTCTAATGTTGGATGTTCATGTGTTGGCTTCTGCGCAGCCATTTTCATCCACTGCTGTAGGGAAGCTTTGCATTGTGGCACAATCTTTACTTGGTGTCTCTCACAGCATATGTAGCTTCTCTTTACTGAAATGATGCTAGTGGGGCTCTGAGGGAGCTGCCCGGTGTGTGTGCAATGAAAGGTACGTGCTTGTAGTCATGAGATTAGGCTTCTCATGCTGAGCATGCCATAATGTCTGCCTCGTTCCAGAAAAGTTGTGGTTGTGAGAGTTCACATGTGTCTTTCATCAGCATGTTAGCGCAAGCAGCCAAGAATATGTCTTACAGATAATGCAGTGTGTAGTGAAAAGCTGTGAACCTTTCTATCAAACATCTTGGAGGCACCAGGACTTGGAATCTGAAAAATCAAGTTTATATTCTAATGCCCTAGAGCTTTGCAGAAATTTGTAACTTGTTTCGTTGAATGGACTAAGTAGAAGTGAACTGCTGACTCACTTGGCAGAAGGTAGCATACATCTAGGGAGCAACGAATCATGGGCTGTGAAAGAACGTAACATGCAACTAATCACATAATAGCACCATTAAGTTGTATGGTGGCTAATCTTCAAGGGGAACCACTGATTGAATTTTTTTGTGTCGTGATTTCTTGTGTCGATGGCAAACTAAAAGGGTCTTCTTACTTACAGCTCAGCAAAGTAAGAGAGGTTGTTCCAAGTATGAGCAAGGACCAGATAGTCATGGCTCTGAGGTGTTATGACTATGATGTCAATGCTACTATTACTGCAATCTCAGAAAGTAGGTATATGTTAACTATATTTTTGTTTAACCACTGTTATAAATTGGTCTTTCAGAGAAGGAAGCTAGTGTGCACTTGTGAAGGAAACTTGGGTCATACCGTGGCCATGATTTTCGGTAGTAATGTTTGCAAATAGAGAAGTGGCCTGAAATTTTAGGTTGACTTGATGCTTAGACAGTAGTATTCTGATACTGTTATGGTCAGTAAATAAATAAATAAATAAATATTTCACAAGCAAGCAGAGGATCTCATTGGCTTGCCTGGGCTATAATTGAGACTTTGATTATGGCAGCTTAATAAGAATTCAGTGCCACAGTAACTGATGACAAGTTTGACATGCAAGTTGAGAACTACCGTAGATCACCAACACAGACGACCACAAACACCTCTTTTGGCAGGCTGTGATCAGCCAGTGTATGGTGTCACTGCGATTACTGAACATAGAGCAGTAAAGCTTCATAAATCTCACAAATAGTAGTGCTCATATTTGTTAACTCTACAGCCACCTCATGCTGAATAAATCCATTTTTTATCATTATTTCAAAAGGAAAGTATCGATGGTGGCGTTTGAAGAATCAACAAAACAGTGGTAAAAAGCTCAGAACTGGTAATAGTCAAATTTGGGCACATTGGGAAGGTTTTGTCTGCATGTGCATTAAATAGCACTTTTTCACAAGTGGCAATCTCCTGCTTGCACTTACAGCTCCATTTTTTTGGGTAAATGGCATCACTCTCACCAACTTCTAAAATGCCACTACTGATTTTATCTGTGTTAGCAGTGAGTCTCCTGCTTGCACTTTTGTGTTAGTGGGAAACGACACCAACTACTGAAAAGCCATCTTGCCTATGTCAGTAGTGAGTGAGCTAAGCCCAGATGACTTGGCAGATGTAGGAGGGTGTAGGTCAAACTGAAGTTATCTTTGTTGCTTTTTTACTGCACTAAGAGAGCCAAGTTATCATGTTTATTTTGGGGAGTTCTTGCTGAAGGCATGAGTTAAAGTAGCAATTTTGTACTTCCTATGTCCTAGTGTAATTGTAACACTTAGCAAAATGCAATGAGAGGACATTTTTATTGTTTTGCGTTAAAACACTGCTCTTTACTTTTTAATTCATTCATCAGATGGACTCGAAGAAACCTTGCGCGAATGGAGTTGTGCTGGAAACAAAGTCAAGGTAATGCTTTTTTACAAGTCGATATTGGATGGTCTGTCAGCATACCACGCTTGCCTAGCTTGCCATAAATTTAATTGTTTAGGGCAGAGTTGCCAGTTCTGCTTATAATAAGTGGATTGGGCCTTCTAATTTTGCCAGGTCGTAGGACTATTCATTTGTGTGTCACGTTTTTTTTTTAATTTTGGGGGAGGAGGAGGGGGGCTGATTTGCATTTTTTTTTCAGTGTATATTGTTATTTTAGTGATTATCACGTTCACCAATACGCATTTGTCAATGACTTTGAGTAGCTGAGTGTATATGTGTGTGCAGGGTTCCCATCAAGGGGGCGGGGGGGGGGGGGGTGCCACCTCCCCCTGATACCCCCCACATGCACACTTGTATGGTTGAGTGTTGAAGTCAAACATAGGTTGGGGGATTCAACAAGTAAAGTTAATCACGCGCTGTTGAAAGTGACCAACCCGGTGGAGACTGCCCTGGAGAATATTAAAAAGAAGCATGTCCTTTCGTTCATAGCTGCAGATTTTTTCGCTGTACAGAATAATTAAACTGATTTTTCAGCTCCCCTTAGTATTAGGACAATCATAGTTAGATTCAAAAATAGGAAAATGTATTATTTTTTCATTTGTTTGGGGTTTATGAGTATTGGCTTATTTGCTCGCTGGCACCTGGCAACACTGGATTAGGGTATAGTGTTGTCAGCGTTGTGTATTTTTTGTCGTGTATCAGGCTCATGCTATAATAAATTCAATGAAATTCACTGAAGTTGTGTCATGAGGGGAAACATTTAGTATAGTTTGCACTTTATTAATTGCGTGCCTTCCAAATGCATGTCATTTGCAGCAGAAATTAATGCATTTAAAACCTGGGGAGACTGAAAATGTTCTTGTTAATGGGATAATGAACAAAACTATGAAGTGATGAAAGCACTGAAATTCACGAGATAATTTCACATATCTTTAATGGGAATGTTTGAAGGATTGTGAGCTTGAGGCAAAGTTGTACATCGCTGGTTGACATCAAGCGTGCTGGCAGCCTAAGCAGGTTGTGCGCTTTCCTATCCTACTATTTCTCTTTCTGCCCCTCTGTTTTATTTCCCACCTTCTCTGTTCCTTTAAGACGCTGACATGTGACCCACCCAGGATTCAATGCTGTTCGTGCTTGTTTTAGGGAATGTAGTGGGAAAGGAGTGGATGGAGAGATGTGGGTGATTGCTGGCATGATTGGCATGCTTGATTCTATGAAGTTAAACATCACTTATCTTAATTGACAATGGCAGCTAGATCTGCGAGTTGCAAAAAGCATGAAATTCATTAATTTTCTCCAGTATCTGCGGGAAAATATTGCTACCTGTAGGCTGCCACAAACCATAGTGCGAATGCGCGTGTGCGCCCGACGAAGAAGATGAGGCTCGCTGGCTGCTCGAGCTCGGAGTCAGACTGGCCAGTGCTGCAACCGCTCTTGCAAATATATTTTTCGAATATATTCGCAATACTTTGTCTCGTTACTCACGTAACATATTTGGTGGAGGTGCTGGGTATCGATCCCAGTACCTCTCGTCGTCCTGGTTAAAAAGAAGGACAACACATGGCGTTTTTGCATCGATTACCGGCATCTAAATCGAATCACCAAAAAGGACGTGTATCCTTTACCACGTATTGATGACGCCCTCGATTGTCTCCACGGCGCACGCTACTTTTCATCCATCGACCTTCGTTCTGGTTATTGGCAGATTGCCGTAGACGAGAAAGACCAAGAAAAGACCGCCTTCATCACTCCAGATGGCCTATACCAATTCAAGGTTATGCCCTTCGGCCTATGCAATGCCCCCGCCACGTTCGAACGTATGATGGACTCTCTGCTACACGGGTTCAAATGGTCAACATGCCTGTGTTACCTAGACGACGTCCTCGTATTTGCACCTACGTTTGAGACCCACCTTGAGCGTCTGTCGGCCATTCTCGACGTCTTCCGCAAAGCTGGCCTCCAGTTGAACTCCTCGAAGTGTCACTTCGGCCGCCGACAGATTACCGTGCTGGGCCACCTTGTCGATGCTTCTGGTGTGAGACCGGACCCTGAGAAAATTCGTGCCGTCACGAATTTCCCAGTACCCCAATCCGCCAAAGATGTCCGGAGCTTTGTGGGACTTTGCTCCTACTTTAGGCGGTTCGTGAAAGATTTTGCGGCAATCGCCCAACCACTTACCGATCTTTTGAAGAAAGGCGTTCCATTTTCGTGGGGGTCCACTCAAGCTGCCGCCTTCTCTCACCTCATAACACTTTTGACGACGCCCCCTATCCTCGCCCACTTTGACCCATCTGCCCGAACTGAGGTCCGAACTGATGCCAGTGCTCACGGTATCGGAGCCGTTCTCGCCCAATGCCAACAGGGACACGACCGCGTTATCGCGTATGCTAGCCGCCTCCTTACACCTGCAGAGCGTAACTATTCGATCACAGAGCGAGAATGCCTTGCTCTTGTCTGGGCGGTCTCAAAATTCCGTCCATATTTATATGGCACTCACTTTTCCGTCGTCACCGACCACCACGCGCTCTGCTGGCTTTCATCCTTAAGAGATCCTACAGGTCGACTTGGTCGCTGGGCTCTGCGACTGCAAGAATACACCTTTTCTGTGATATACAAGTCTGGACGCCTGCACCAGGACGCCGATTGCCTTTCTCGCTATCCAGTTGACCCATCGGCCACCATACCTGACAACGACGCCTGCGTCTGCTCCGTTTCTCAACTGAACCACATAGCCGACGAGCAACGCCGTGATGCAGCCCTACGAGCTATCATTGAGCGCCTCGACTCCTCCCCATCGAACCGATCCTATCGCTCGTTCGTACTCCAGAATGGCACATTATACCGGCATAACTTCCATCCAGACGGCCCATCTCTGCTGCTTGCCATACCCAAACACCTCCGCTTGGCTGTACTCCACGAACTTCATGACGTTCCTACTGCCGGTCACCTGGGTGTGTCCCGCACATACGACCGGATTCGCCGTCGCTTCTATTGGCCAGGTCTGGCACGGTCCGTCAGAAGATACGTCGCGGCGTGTGAGGAATGTCAGCGCCGCAAAACACCATCGACGCTTCCGGCTGGGCGCCTTCAACCACTCGATATTTCTACTGAACCTTTCTTTCGCGTCGGCTTGGACTTACTCGGCCCTTTTCCTCTGTCTTCTGCTGGCAACAGGTGGATAGCTGTGGCCACAGACTACGCCACACGCTACGCAATCACACGCGCCCTTCCAACAAGTTGCGCCACTGACGTCGCCGATTTTCTTCTACACGACGTGATCTTGCAACATGGTGCTCCACGCCAGCTGCTCACGGACCGAGGCCGCACATTTCTATCGAAAGTCATAGCGGACATTCTACGCTCTTGTGCAACACGCCACAAGCTCACTACGTCGTACCATCCGCAAACAAATGGCCTCACAGAACGCCTGAACCGAACCCTAACTGACATGCTTGCAAAGTACGTTTCCTCAGATCACTCTGACTGGGACATCGCTTTACCATACGTGACATTTGCCTACAATTCTTCGCGCCACGACACGGCTGGTTACTCCCCTTTTTTCTTGCTGTTCGGCCGCGAACCCACATTACCCCTCGATACGACGATTCCGTTACCAGCAGCTCCAACTTCACAATATGCTCTGGACGCCATCAGCCGGGCCGCCCACGCACGCGAAACCGCTCGTGCTCGCCTTCTGACCTCCCAAGCAAACCAACGGCGTCGGTACGACCAACGACACCGCGATGTGCACTTTTCGCCCGGTTCGTTGGTTCTGCTGTGGTCTCCGACCAGGCACGTTGGCCTGTCTGACAAGCTGCTCTCTCGGTACACAGGGCCCTACAGAGTGCTTCGTGAGGTGACTCCCGTCACTTATGAAATCACTCCTGCTGCCTCGCCGTCTTCATCCACCCCTAGGGCCAGCGACATCGTACACGTCGCACGCCTGAAGCAGTACCACTCGCCCAATGATCTTGACATCTAGATGCGCCGAGACGGCGCCTTTGCCGACGGGGGTTATATGCTACCTGTAGGCTGCCACAAACCATAGTGCGAATGCGCGTGTGCGCCCGACGAAGAAGATGAGGCTCGCTGGCTGCTCGAGCTCGGAGTCAGACTGGCCAGTGCTGCAACCGCTCTTGCAAATATATTTTTCGAATATATTCGCAATACTTTGTCTCGTTACTCACGTAACAATATGATTGTGCCAACTATTTTTACGAGAGAAACATTTAGTTGGACTGAAGATCCTGGCAGCAAAGGTCTGTTAAATATATCTTTTTCACTCTTTCATTACCACAGTTATTCAAATTGTTCATCGGTGATAAGAGCATACTATCATGTTTGAAACCAATTTTCAAGCATGAACGTAACTCAACTTGCCCAACTTGCCATGTTTCTGCAGAGAATAATATTCATTGCTGGAAATAACCGTAATCAAGTGTAGCAGATACTAAATTCAGTAACACTGCAGATCAATTATGGCCACCGTCATATGGGTCACCTGGATACAGTATAGAAGCTTAAACGTTCCAACACAGTATGCTGTCCATTTACCCAAAAGAATGCTTCCTGCATTGCTGCAAGTCCTTTCCAAGTAGTAAATTCCACTTCCACATTGAAACTCGTATTCCCAGCTCTAGCTGCAAAAACTGTCTGAGTTGAACTTTATTTTCAGTAGGCTTTTGAAATTTTCCAACTTAACTATTCTGTAAAGCATGGGAATAAATATCTACGACTTAAATATCTTTTTTTTTCCTTCTAATTGAATGGCGCAGCAACAACACAGGCGTGATTTTGTTTTTAGTATAGCAGAGTGAATCTGAGGTAGTGTTTCATGTTCTCTTGCATGTTTGGGCGAACAGAAATGCTGGTTTGTATTGTGTCAGGGAGTTCACACTTCTGTTCAAGTTTTTAATAAGATTTCTCATTACTTGGCACAGCCAACTTTGATTAAAAATATTTGCAACTGTTTGAACTTTGAATTTGCAATCCCTTTCGTCCCACTTAACATGGTACTTGCATGTAGTAGTACTCTGCATCTCTTTCAGTTATACTAAATTCGCAATTGGTATGCCTGAGTGTTTTAAACTGCATCGCACATCATGTCAACATGGTTTCGTATAATACTGGAAAGCTTTTAAATTGGGTGCATCTGCAAATAGGTGATATCATCTTTGAGCTAATATTGCGCTTATAGTATGTTGTTAGCTACTGGAACAAAACATGCAAAGAAGGGTGACAATCTTCAATGTTTAACATGTACTGCCTGCTAAAACATTCAGTATACAGATAGTATATATCTTTGTCTCTGAAAGATGGCAAACAAGATCAGGAAGAGGAAAAAGAAGACCAAGAAAGAACCAGCTCCTGACTTTGGAGAGAATGTCGAGGCCAATGCTGGAGGTGACTGCAAAAACATAGCCTTGGGAAAACTAGACGAGGACAAAGAGCACTTGGAGGAGCATGCTGCTTCTACCTCCCCTGAAGGTTAGAGTTAAGCAGAACACATAATCTTTTGTCTGTTGAAGCACTAATGAGCTGAAACCACTTGAGCGTGGCTAGGTTTGACAGTAAGCATGTGGTCAGAATGTGCGCAGTGCTTTAATAACTTTCCTTTCATTCACCGTTCCCATGCGTGCAGCTTTTTTTACACTGTATATATTGAACTGTAATGTTTTCCATTTAATCTATTATTTTGCAATTGTTTTTTGTATTTTTTTTCTAACTCTATATGTATATGTAAATATATTTTGTGTATTGCCCCCCTTACTCAATGCCCCCCTTGGGGCCTGTTAGGTACCTTAGAACAAATAAACAAAAACAAAACTTTGGTCAGAGAGTTGGCATTCTTGTGGGGCCACCACTGAGACTGTGATTTCATAGGTGTCTCAGTTGCATTATTTTTTAGCTTTTCACTGTTCTTTGGTAGTCTGAGCGATGCTCCATCTTTGTTGCGAGAGGCATCGGCCAACCTGAATGGTGCACATTGAGGGTGGCCTAGAATATAGCCTAAAGCATCAATACAGCCTCATAGCCCACTTTCCCAGTTATGAATTTTTCTTGACGACGTTTTTGAATTTTAGTAAAACTCATTCAATTGAGCAATCATCCTAAGCAAGTATAACGTAAATATAAGAGGTGGGCTCACCCCAGTCAAGGTATGCCAACTAGCCGAGATTTTGAGATTATATTATCAAGTGAATAGTTAATGCTAATGTACTACTTGTTGTAATTACTGGGTTTTGTAAGACTGCAGTCATTTATCTAATAATTGATTGCATTAGTTGATGATCACTACGTGTATGTACTTGTGCAAACAGTTTATTATTGTGCAAGCAGCTATTGTGCTACAATAATTTATAGTGCCATTTGTTATCCATAACATCCAGAAGAATGTGCAAGGTACTTTGCTTTTGATACCATACAATGGGCAGATTTATCGGCGATTCCATCCACTGCAGTGGCTTTTGGGATTTTTCTGTGGAAGCAAAGTATACATTCCGCTGGTTTAAGTCTGCTTCTTGACCACAAAACTCGGTTCACAGAACTTCTCAAAAATTAATACAGAAGCTTCCATTACCTCAAGTTTTGCAGATCGCATAGCAGGTTGTAAATCCGAAGAATCAATGCGTCTATAAATTATGTACTGTAATATTAACTGCACATTTACCAGAAGCTTAGCAATCCTGTTGATAAATCGTGACAGCAAGTGCTTCACTACACATTTGGATCACATAGCTAAATAAATATGTGTGCATAAACAATTTTATTATATATTATGCACTAAATTCAGCTTAGTCATTAAATATTATGCACGAGCTTCAGCTTGAACACATAGTGTTTCTATTCCAAGATTTTACTGGTAACTGCTCCGTAAAATTGGTTTTCTGCTTCATAAAGAGTTTTAACTGCTCCACAAGCTGCCTGCATATAGCGTCTGTACATAACTCCACCTATTCTCATTCTTTTTTTCATAATTTTTTAATAATATTGTCAAGTTGAAGTGCATAAGTTCGCCAACTGCTTTAGATGGCCATTAAAACTGCTACCTTCATTCAATAATGAATTTGTCTAAATAAAAGTGCACCTCTGGTAGTTGTTTCATATCCAACATTTTAAAAATTCACTCATCTCTTCAATTTTTCAGCATTATCTCGAAGAAACTTTTATATATGTAGAAGGTAACGTGATCTGTGTAGCACAGAACAGACGAGGAAGGCGTTTGTGTTGTATGGAATGTTGTCACATTAGTGTGGAAATGAATGTGTGTTATATAATTTTGTTAGTACATGAAATTGTTAATATAAGATCTTACATTTATTCCAGATACATTTATGAGCTCTTACAAGCATAATGGTAGTGATCCAGAGAAGTATCCTGCGGTGTCTTATGGCTGGGGTGAGGATCCACTACCAGAAGAGCCCTCGCAGGAGGATGACGATAAACCAGAAGATTTTGGCGAGTTTGAAACTAAAAGCAGGTGTGTTAGCTGCTGGTACCCCTCCTCTTGTCTGCAGCCAATTTATAGTTCCTATGTGTTTAAGAGGAGATACTGTTGTAGGCCCGTGTGCTCGGATTTGGGTGCACGTTAAAGAACACCAGGTGGTCGAAATTTCCGGAGCCCACCACTACGGCGTCTCTCATAATCATATGGTGGTTTTGGGTAAACCCCACAAATCAATCAATGGGAGATGCTACTAAAAGAACACAAGTATTTTACAAAAGTACATAATTTTTGTTTTTACGTGCTTTCGCAAGTTTAGTTTCTCTGCTTTCTAGACAAAAAACAATCAAGGTTGTAACTAAGCTCGGCACAAGTTAAAATCACTTTTAAAAATTACAAGGTGGCTATTAAAAAATATTAAGAGCTGATTGTCTAGAGTCCCCTGCCATGTGTCACTTGGCTGCTTGCCATTTCATTTTTCATAGGGAGTTCACCAAAACCATCAAAATTGCCATGATTTCCAAGCTCTTATGATGAAAGAAGTCATTTTAAAAAGCATAGATGAGCATCCATTTTTACGTTTGAAATTCTTTTTTCTCAAAATGCATTCATGGGCAACTTCTTGAGATTGGACATATTTTTGTCACTTCTGAAGGCTAGATAGAGATAAAAATTTTCCCATATACTTCTTAACATGTGGAAAGTGTCATTATCTCCTTTTAAATCTAAGATCACTTACACAATTATTATGAACCTGAAGTAAGCAGTTAGTATCGGCTGAGCATTGGAATAATTCTCACATAAAATGTTTTTTTGTTAATTAATATGTCTTATGCACATTTTCTTATTTGCATTCTGCAGTTAATACGGAGCATTATGAGCCATTAATGGTTTGTAACCATAAAACGTTAGTAGCAAAAGTGTGTTCAAAAAGAGGCATGTTTTACCCAATGGTACAAAATTTCAAGTATGCAGCTCACTATAATACTGTGTACATATTTGAAATCAGCATAAAATCATGCATAAACAGTAAAAATTCGAATGTTCTAGGCTACAGATTAAACAAACTTTTTTTTCTCTTAGTAGCACCTCCTCTTAAAGGGGAGGCTACCATGGAAGGGCAACTTTTTGTTTGTTGAGATATCCTAATGAAACTTTCAGGGTAGGCTAATAATAAAGACATTTAAATAACCGGGAAATGTTATGCATTTAGGTTCACTGTTACCAAAGTTACAGCCATTTATCAGGATAGTCTATATAGGTTTCTTATGCTCTAATGAATTTAATAAATGTGCTAGCACTGTGAAATTCATTGTGATGATTCCTGGATCGGTGTTTCACACTAGGACAGAGCTCTTTTTTTTTAAATTTCCTTGCTGGAAGTTTTTAGCTGAGCACTGAATTCGGTGTTTGCCATTAAGCATTTATCAATGAAGTTTCAAATAATTATTGCAAATTACCGATGCAAAAAATTTAAAAAATGTCTTTGTTAATGTGTGGGCTATTTATTAGGGTACATGATAGAACAAATCTGATAGAAATCAGATAAGCGGTTGCAGAGATATCACCAGACTAAACAGCCTCACTGGCCAAAAGTCATTCTGAGAAAATGCACTTTGAAAGTTTCGAACACATATTTTGGTCTAAAATGACCCTGAAAAGTAGCTAGAAATGTTATTTAGGACTTTTTTCCTTTTCCGCTTTTCCTACTTGTGTTGCAGCTGCTGTTCTTCAGCCTTTTTCACATGGAGAGGGTCTTTCCCTGCTGCCCGTTTGTTGCCAGCATAGCGCCGTCAGTTGCAGACATAGCGCCAAGCTTTGGTTGCATAGCAGCACTTTCGCTATCTTTCACGGCGAACTCTTTGCACGTTCAAAAACGTGTTGGTAAATGCACAGTGGACGACGCTGTCGCACTGTTTGGGGCCGTAATCACTGCAGTTAGCGAGCACAACAACGCACCAGGCGCACTTGAACACGAAACACAAACACCAGCCTCACTTGTGACGACTGAGCGTTGCGCCGATTCTCGATGTCGTGATAAGCATCAATGCAGTCATCTTGAAGAGACGGAGAAGCTGCTCAGCATCGATGAGACTGTCGCCCACGCGTTGGCGCCTGAACGAGCCTCACCATGCGTACGAGCTTCATTGGACACTTTCTTGAACAGAACGCGTGCCAAGTCCCAAACTTTGCCGTGCCCATCGTTAGTGACTGACTAACAATCAGCATCTCGTAAACACTGCAAAAGATCATCTCGTAAAGACTGTGAAAGATTGAAGAGCATGCATGAGAACCAAGCGGAATGATGGCAAACGGGAAAACAACGCACGCCAAGAGAACACGACTGGCGCATGCAAGGTCGTGTTCATGCATGCAAGGTCGATGATGCAGCATCCAATAGAAGCTGTGTCATCGCCCACTCCCTTGAGACGCACGCGCTTCCTCCAATTGCGGCTGCGCATTCGAGCCGTGGGAGACTTCAAAACGTCAAGAGCTCCACAATCATGAGGATTCCCATGCGGCCACATTGCTGCTGCTGCCGCAGGTGGCAAAAAAAAAAAGGAGCAGGAATTCACGAGCAAAACAAGACCAAGATGGCGACGCTGGGCCGCGAAGTTGGGGTATTTTCAGGGCTCGCTGGCCACTTAACGGCTGCAGTGGCATGTTATATGATTTATTTGACCTACTTTCACGATGAATTAAACATTGATATTTACAGAACAGATAGTTTATAAAACATGCTACCCGAATATGTGGCTTTCAAAAAATTGACTTTTGCACGATTTTTCAGTTTTCGAAGGGTGCGTCTCCCCTAAAGGGTCACTAAAGGGAACTATTAAGTCGACCTAGATTGTTGAAATGGTGGTCCAGAAATGTCGTAGTGTTACTTTTGTTACAAGGAAGGGCCTATTTTGAAATAAAATAACATTTTAGTGGTTCGCATCGGGTAAGCGCACTTCGAATTACCCGCCTCGACAAGCGGACCGACCGGACCGACTCGTCACTGTTGCCGTGCACAACGTTGCCCGGATTTGCTGCGCTAGTAGCAGCAGACCGAAAGCAGCGGGAGCCACAGCAGCAACAGTGGCCATTGAATAATGTCTCGCCATTTGCTTCGAAATTGCAGATGTTATTTGTTTACACTACGCGGGGCTAGATGGCACCACTTGTCCCGTGTAACCACGCGAAAATTGAATTTTTGAACCACTCGCGCCATTCGCCATAGTGAAGTCCAGTGGTTATTTTTTTTATGAATCAAACAGAAACGAACAAGCATCATTTTATTGCATCTCTTAATGTGCAGAAGGTTCTTTATTAAGTGCAGTTAGATCGATTGCTAGTGATTATATGTAGGAGGTCCTTCTGATGTCATAGGGATCATTTTGAAAATGTTCTACTGCGGCGCTTGTGTTCTTGTGCATTTACCTTAATTTCTCAGTAAGTAGGGCGCTATTGTTGATAGTAATATCGTTTCAGATATTGTCATACATTGAGCTTTTACTATGTGTAAATTGTTATTTGACTTTAGTGTCCCTTTAAGGCTCAGATTTGTTTTTGCCTCTGAGAACCTGTATAATTTGGATTTTTACTAGATGGCAAACAAGGCATTAAGCTTTTCAGACGGTAGTTGTGGAGGTCAAGCTGCGTAGTGATGTGTGGATGTGGCTCTTGCTCCAAAAGTGGCAGCAGCAGTGCACAGATTTTTGCTCTAGAAGCGGCAGCTGCTTTAGCATAAGAAAAAGTCGCTTTAATGATATTTGTGCCACGCTAGAAGTTTTGTGTGCAATAGGTTTGACAAATCACGTGCCTGTTATGTGCAAAGTATAAGTGGGTGTTTTAAAATTTTTGGTTGAGCTTATTGGCAATATGTGCATTGTATTTTGATTTGTTCATTTCATCATTGCAAAGCAGCAACTTGAACATTGCACTTTTTTTTTTATCCAGCAATAGACCAATGCATAACAGTGGCCGTTCCAAAAGTAGCCCGGATATCAAACGCACCGACGGTCATGAAGCAAACTCTCTTCCTTCCAGTACTACCACCATCCCAAAGAAGACGTGTAAGTAAAATACACCAATATTATTGGTAAGAACGGACTGCTCGGTGATTTGGTAATTCATCTTAAGTGAGGGCACAAAAAATTTGAAGTACAAAAGAAAGACACCTGGACACAGTGCACCACATGGAAAAGAGCCCAAATAACTAGTAATATACTTCAGTAGCACGGACTGCTGGGCGAGTTGGTAATTTATCTTGACTGAGTGCGCGAAAAATTTGAAGTACAAAAGAAAGACACTTGGACACAGCGAGTGTTCTGTTTCCAGGTGTCTTTCTTTTTTACTTCAGATTTCTGACACACTCAGTTAAGAACTATATTATTGGTATTAATAGGCAGTATGCAACAATAGTCCAACATGGTTTGTTGAAATTTCGAAACCTGAGAACTTGGAAAACTGACAGTGAGAACCCCCAGCTGGGGTCGATCTCTGATTTCCCTCTTCAGACACTTGTAAAATGCAAAAACTAATTTCGCGACAGCACTGCTGAACAAATTTGAGTTGAATTTATTTCATTTTGGAGAGAAAGTTAAATTCTGTTGGTTCTAAATGAAAACAGAATTTTGGATTAAGGGCCTGGAATTTTTATCAAAAATTTCTTGTAATTGAAAAACAAAAATTGTGGCACTAAGTTTGTTAATCCACAACTGTGCATCAATATAAATCGTAACTCTCTCAACTGCACCTGTTAGAGCATAAAAAGCTAGGCAGTTGTTACCATAAATTTACAGCTTACACAGAAGTGTTGCAACATTTGCAAAAGCTCGCAGGTTATTCTTTTATGTGCAGGTTATTCTTGTATGTAGCATTTCAAGCCAGTTTACCGTATATCAGTTGGGCGTGCCTTGGATGTACAGTCAAATCTGGTTATAATGAAGTTGAAGGGGAGTCGTAATTACTTCATTATAATCATTAGTTTGTTATAGGCAATATTCATTTCTACCAGCAATTCACGAGCAAGAGAGAATGTACACACCTACAAATATCGCAGCAGCCCGTTGGCATAGAAAAACGGCTGTTGAGGGCGAAGGAATTGCTGGCGTGCACGAATCCGTCGATGTACACGACCGTCGTGTCGACGTTGAAGTGTGTGTATTTGTGGCTGGGGTTTGTCAGCACCACCTTTGCTTGCTGTCATGCAGCTCGGCTATGCCTCTTGCAACACAAATCTGACTGTTGAAAAGTAGGTGCTGATCACCCTTGACAGCGCCTTCAAGGTTTTCGGCTTTTTTGGTGCCAATAAAAATGATGCTGGCGAACAGCGGCACGGTGACCTGCTCTTCTATTACATTCCATGCATGGTTCTCCGGCGCCATGTAGGGCAATGCTTTTTCATAGGTTAGTGTTATGGATTCAGTCCTCAGGTGGATAATGGCACCTGGTGACTTAGGAAGTCCATCCCAAGTATCACTTCTCTGGAGCACTGCTCTAGGATAACAAAGCTCGCAGGATAAATCCGGTTGTTGATTGTGACTCTGGCTGTGCAAACTAACCAGCGTTATCAAGAGGCCTCCAGCAGTCCGGATTTCGAGTCCATTTCAAGCGGTCCTTACTTTCTTCAGCTTGGCTGCAAACGGCCCACAGAGTAGTCAGTACCAGTGTCAATGAGAGCGGTGACGTTGTGATTGTCAACGAGAACGTCGAGGTCGCTTGTTCGTCATCTTGCGTTGCGGTTGGGTCGTGGCGTCGCATCACGGCTACGTCGGTTTGCTCTGCTGCTTCCATGTTGCATCATCAGGTTTTCCTCTGGTCACGAAGTTTCGACGTCAGAGCTGCGTACAGGTTGCGGCAGGTTCTCAAGGTTTCGTCACAGCAGCGACAGCGAAGAATCTTCAGTAGTTCATTGTACAGCAACTGCACCTCCATCGTTCGCTGCCCTTAGTTTTCCAAGTAAAGGCTGAGAGATCGGCCCCAAGCAGGGCCGGCGTACTTACTGCGACATGGTGAGGTGTAATGAACTGGCTAAGGAGATCGGAAAGATAGTCGGGGCGTCCCTTGCACTCCTGTGAGATAGCCGGCAATGGCATGTGGCCTCTCACCATGCTGGGGAGGCTGTGCATTGACGGCGAATCCACACAGGCCCATCTAGCGTTACTGGCAGCGATGGTAGGTGAGGCCAGTTTCTCCGCAGTTGTAGCAGAGTAGGCGGCCGTCAGGGGCACGCCAAACATCGGTTTCCTTGAGGCGCTGCACTGTTCAACAGGCAAACGGTATGGTTGTGGTGGTGGTGGTGGTGGCGGCGGTAGTGTGATGGTGTGGTGTCTTGGCGTTGTCATAGAGGGGAAACGTGATGGCATACTGCAGCAGCGTAGCTCATAGCTTCAGCCTGAGGCTGTGGTGCTTCGGAAACTCCAAGCGATTTCCAAATTTCTTCACAAACAGTGTCGACAATTGAGTCTACTTGGGGCTGTGACAAAGGCAACAGCTTCCGTAGCTCCTCCCACACTATCTGTCGAATCGTTTCATGTATGTCGTCTGAGTCGAGGGTGTGAATAGCTGCACTGTCTTGTATAGATCAGCGATCGTACTGGCGGGTTTGCATTTCGAGCGTCTTCTTGAGCAATGCAGCCTCCAAGACAAACTTTTAGACTGAGACTGTTTTGGGTGGGTTCCTCACCAGCCCAACAAAGAGGTCTTGCTTCACTCCTGGCATGAGCAAGCAAATCTTCTCCTCGGTCATGTCAGGGCTGCTGTGGCGGAACAGACAAATCATCTCTTCTGTAAAGACTGTCACGCTTTCGTTTGGAAGCTGCGCCCTTGTTTCCAGCAAAGCAGTGGCTATATACTTTTGTACGACACGTGCAAATATGGCAAGAAAGCTGGTTCGGAAGGTGTCTCATGTTGTCATGGTGGACTGTACTCAACCATGTCTTTGCTGCGTCCTCCAGGTAGGAGTAGACGCGACACAGCTTTTCGTCAGAGTCCCACTGATTTGTTCGATTGTGTAGTAATGTGAGACTAGGCTGGTGACGCTTACCGGCACCTGATGGGGCTCTAGGATTTGTGTATGTTATTGTTAACCTTTATTGTTTTGTAGCTATTCTATTTTCACGAAATGCACAGTGACTCTTGCCTGATGTTTACGGAATGAGGCGAGTGCCTGTGTGATCATGGCAACATGATCAGCATGGTGATCTTTACATCACTTTATTAAGAGTACTGTACATCGATTTTTATTAAAGTATTAAAAGCATGAGTGGTTCCCCTTGCAGTCTCTGAGAGCTCTGCTCATAAAAATAAAGGACATTTTCTCTGCGAACAATTGCATGCTACATGACATTTCGTTTAACTCTCTTTTGCATTGGTCACGAGGTGACTTACATAACCACTGTGGTTTCCAGCCTGGGAGGAATATTCTTTTAAGTTCACATGCTCGTATGAAATGAGATTTGCACAAAGTTGAAACTGTTTTTGTGGCACAGCAGGACAACTATTGTGTTTGTTTATGAGCATGTTAAAAGAAATAAGTGCTTAATTGTGCGATTTTTTGTTGTATAATGTTAATTGCTGCCTTCTTTGCTTTTGCACACAAGCCATCCCGGATGGACTCGGTAGGACGTTTTTGAAATTGTGCTTTATTTTTTGAGGGTTCAAGGAGGGGCAGCAACTTAACTGAAGGGCCTATGCCGTTTATTGCAGGCCTTGAGAAATCCTTGAAGGATCTTTCTCGCCAGACTGTAGCACTCCAAAGGGTGCAAGTTCTTCTGGAAGAACAACTCACAAAAGCTGAAAAAGCAGTTAAAGCTGCTTTCTCGGAAGTCCATAAAGTGTAAGCTTTCTATTTGATATCTATAGTTGTACAAATCTGTTGATCTGCTTGTGTAAATGCATTTTTTTTTTCATACATTCAAGACCCTCTTTAGGAAAAGCATTTGTGAGATTGATTAAACCTTTTCGATTGACAATCTCCAAATCACCTTAGCAGGGAAATGTACCTACTCAATACTACACTGTTTGCCTGGCTGCATAAGGTGTCAAAGTGCACAGCAAAGATGTTGTAATCATAAGGGTTCGAAAGTGTGAAAGTACCATTTGAATGAAGACTGATTAGACTTGTGTTAAATAATGTTGTAATTGTAAGGGTTCGAAAGTGTGAAAGTACCAGTCAAATGAAAGCTGATTGGACTTGTGTTGAATAATAGGTCTATTCTTGTTAAGCATAGTCATAGCCGTGAATATTTCTCTTTTTTATTGCATCGTCATTTTATGAGTCGGGAGCCTATTAAATTGGTTGCATAATACTTGATGCTAATAAATTCACAAATCCTTTGGGGTACCCTAGTGTAACCATATACGTACAGATGTTAAGGGGAGACACTGCTCTTAAATTTTTTTTTTATGATCAATTTTGAAGAAACCTAATGAGTTTTTGTATATTTGTACACATATTTCATATATGCAGTTATTTTTTTATAAAGTAGAGTTTTTAAAATACAGAATATTTCATGTGCCTTTTGGGGAGCGAGATTTTTCCAAGCTTGAAGAGGTACAGAATAAAACGGCATGTCACAATAACCTGGAATTTGAGCTGATTGTAGTGCAACAAGAATGGATGTTCCAAGTCCATTTGAACAAAAGTTAAGGTGCTCTGAACCTTTGTGAGTGAGTCAATTTCAAGCTGAAATTTCACTGGCAATAGTTCAACATACCATAACTTTTTTTCTAAGAGGTTTAGAACATCCATTTTTGTTGCAGTGCAATCGGCTCTGATTCCAGATTATTGTGATTTACTGATTTACTTCATAGTTCACTTAGTTTTAAAAAAAGCTATGTACATATGTATGTACATTGTTTAAACTTCTTTGCAGCTTGAATGACCGTCAGGTTCTAGTAGAGGAGGAATTGGAAAAAGTGAAAAATGATGCTCGTGAGTACTTTGAAGGCTTTTCTTTTCTCTGACAAGCAAAAAATTCTTGATATCAGCTTGCTTTTTTTTCATCATGGTGGTAAACTACTCGCTTTTTTTTTATGATACCTTCTTGTCAAACTAACATCGCAAGTATTTGTTTTCTTAATTTGGTCATTGCACATAATCTTGCCTTAAACAGAATAGCTCACTATTGGAAAATATCGCAGATTAGTAGCACCCAAAGTTTTTGAATTAACCGTACCGGTGCTGACCGCCGCTTCAAATTAATCACTAACACTTATATTTAATAATACAGGACTGCAGAAATCTTTCGAAATAAGCGGGGTTTCAAAATAACAAAGTTCTAAATAATGGGGCTTTAATGTAGGTGTAAACAGGCTGTGTGCTGCAGCTGATGTTTTGACAAGTAGACTTGTCTTTTTCGAGGCTGCAGCTGACCGCAACTGATTGCAACTAATAAGTTGCAACCTTGAAAAAGGACAGGTACACTCGTCGAAATGTCGGCTGCAGCACACAACCTATATTTACGAATTTCTGATCGCAGCTTCCATCTTCCTCTTCCTGCCTTTTGTTTCATTTACATTTTCGTTAAAGCAGTGATGGCTCTTTTTCCTCTACAGGTTTTGTATTGGAGCAGCGGCAGAAGTTGGCTGCTGAGCTGAAGGAACGTAGTGATACTGCACCCTCACTCTCTGAGCAGAGCTTGGCTGAACTGCGAGATGACATTAAGGTTTGTGCTTGGCATGTATCCATGTATATCTGGTGAAAACTGGTGCTTTTTTAGTATGTTTCCTCCATTGGTCCACTTGCAGGATATTTTCTACCAGCATTAATGCATTCTTCATGTCTTTTTGTTTTTGAAGCAGGTCCACACCACTCGTTTATTATTTTTGTTCTTTTTATCTTTTGCATGAAAGATAAACTTGTGATTCTCTGGGAGTTATCATTGTGCAGTTAGTTCAGCATGCTTTCCAATAATATTTCCTGTTGTTTGCATAGTATATTGAGTCTTGGTAGTCTGCTTTCATTGATTAATATTGCATATTATGGATTGTAGTAAGTATAAGCTTCTTTTGTGAAGTGGTTACTGTATCTTAGCATATCTAAGTCACTAATTGAAAAAGTTTTTATTTCAGCATTTTGTAGTCGAACGTAAATATGATGAAGAGCTGAGCAAAACAGCAAGGTTTGTTTACACCAAAGAGAAGATTGAAAAGGTGAGAAAACATACCAGGTATTTGCTCTCCCAGCCTGTGTAATCTAGTGCAGCTCATCATACTTTGTTTCCGAGTGCGTGTAATCGCATGAAATTACAGTTAAACTTTGATTATATGTCTCCAGGTTCAGTGACGACTTGCATTTCCTGACGAATCAGTTTGGTCTTGACAAAACTCATCCAGAAACAATTTATTAAAAACCTTAATTATACGGCACACTTTTACGCCGACCCCACATCTTACGATGACTTTCAGATTCCGTCCGAAAGACATAACCGCCTTTACTCGAATCAAACGTCGACCAAGTATTCACATGTGCAAAATATGAACTTGGGTTCCCCAGGTTAACGATTAGAATAGTGAGTGAGACGTATTCTTAGATGGTAAAAATTTATTGTCCTAGAAGTTCATGCGCTTCTACATAAACCTTGATCGCGTGCGTACGTATCTGGGGTCGTTACGTAGCTGAGCTCTATCCACACAGAGTAGCTTCAGCCGGCTGAAAAGCTGATATTTTTAGGTTCTGACCGTGCGAACTTTTCCTGGTCGACATACAGCTAATCTGTTTTAGTCACACTCGCAGTCAAAGGCTTGCGCACAGATAAGAGTGCGATGGAGCTGTTTTTATCGTGCGAAATTTCTTTCACTTAATGTCTGCGTTCACAATAACGGCGGGGCATCATTAGTTACACTTCACAAGCCAACAAATTACAATACGCAGAACTCAGTCGCACATGAAGGCATTATGTATATAAACTCGTGCTCAGTCGCCATTATGTGATAGGGATGACACTATGTCTGACTCTTCTGACGGTAGGCTGTTGCCAACATGGTGTCAGTTTAGTTTTCACGCGCACGCTATTTTCGGACTTGGTCTTTTGGTAGGAAGCTACGCCTTGTATTAATTTTTTTAAATGAAGATTCGCTCGCACTTCTTCCAACTATGTAATGCTGTCGTTAGCTGCCACTGGCAAGAAAAATTGAATTTACCTTCTTTCCAGAAGGACAAGTTCATGCCGGGGGCTAATTCATGCCGTCTGTACCCATTTTCTTGGGGAAGGCTGAATGTCACTGCCTATAATGTTAGTTTTTCGATGGTACGGCACCCGGATTATACGACGATTTCGCGTCGTCCCTTGAAGTCGTGTAATCAGGGTTCCACTGTATACTCTTGCTTGTGGCCCACTCTTTGTACAGTGTGGGCAATGCTGGCTCTCTAGCTACATGTGTAGGCTTAAGCTATGTCAGTGCATTGCACAATTGTGTATAAAAGTGCCAGGGCTGCTAGGCAAGTTTACTCATGCTAGATAAAACACACATGTGCACTACACTCGTTTGTGTCAGCAAGATTGCACACCTTGTACTGTGTTGTACTGTGTTTAAAAGCAGTTTGACCAAGATATGTTATAGATTCAAAATTTTGGGCATTTCTATATTTTTGTTTATCATCTTGCAGTGGTCACAAGACTGTTTGCATTTCTTTTTTGCACCAATGATATTATTTTTTAAAGTTCGCTCAAAGGTTAGACTTAGCATTGGTTGACTAGCATCCTTACAATTCACTGGTCACACTAACAAGGTGCTTGTCAGTGCAGAAATCAGCAAATCTTCCATTCTATCTGTACAGATTCTAAATCCTAGTGGTGGTACTTGGCTTTAAAGGCATTCTCACTAATTTTTTGCCTAATTAGCCAAACACAGTTTGTATACTATGTGGAGACAATCATTTCAGCAAAGTATTGCTCTAATAGTGTGTTGCAATAACAGATTAAGTCATATGAAAGCCTATACAGTTAAACCTGCTTATAAAAAACCTCCATATAACGAATTCCTGGATATAACGAAGTTTTTCTATTTGCCGCCGTCGCTCCATAAAAGCACATGTATTTGTGACCTCTATGTAGCAAAGTAACTGCGGGAGACAACCTTGATATAACGAATTTTCCTCAGGGACAATCTTGGAATTTCGCTTCGCATTTCAGCATTTTGGTACGAGCATGCATCTTTCGTCCCTGCCCTGCCGAAGCGGTGGCGGCGAGCACACGGGCCGCATCCGCGTGAGGTGGGCAGGCGGGCTGCACCTTAGGAGCCAGCGTTGCCCCCTTTCTCGCCGCTGCGATCGCATGCGTGGGTGTGCCCCCCCCCCCCCCCCTCCCGATCCAAAATAAAAAGAAGAAAAACTACTTTTGTGCGTTGGCAGCGCCACGCTTTTAATTAGCGTCACATATGTGGGGCCGTGTTGCATATAGAGGGCGCTTTGCTGAATAGTTTTTGTGGTTTCTGTGTCCGTGTCGTTCGCTTTTTGTTTTCGACGCCGTGGGCGCGTGCATAGTTTCACTGCGTGTGCATGGTGTGTCCCCCGATGATTCAGCTTTGCTTTTTTTTTTTATATTGCAACAGCAATTATGTATATGGTCAGTTTCGGCTGGGTTTTTGCCGTCGCCGCCTTCATTCACCGTATATGTATACGTACCTATATATATATATATATATATATATATATATATATATATATATATATATGTGTGTGTGTGTGTGTGTGTGTGTGGAAACTCGAAAAAAAAAAAAACACCCGCGCTCGGTGCTCAGCTCCTCACGATGTGCCAACGGGCGCTTACCTCCCACACGTACTTTGCCCCGTGAATGCGGAGGGGGGAGAGGGGGGTTAGATGCTTGTGTGTGCGTGCTTATCCTTCGATGGGGAGAATCGCACACCTTCGACTTTCACCACAACGATTGCGTCTGCTTTTTTCACACATTCCCATCGCGTTTAAACCACACTGATACTCGACAAGATAGCAAGCGCGCCAGCATTATTGCTACTCGAGCTATTCCCCTTCTCCCCCTCTCCACGTTGTTTCATGCTCGTTTAAAACGGGTGGTTTACTTTCTGGTTGAGCATTCGATGGTAGTTCTAACATGCGGGAGATGTTATGCACTTTCTAGGCGATAGGGATGGGCCGACGCATGCGATCTCTGCTTCAGCAGCGCTCGCGCGCTTTTACCCACTTGTGAAAGTTACAATATGTGGGGGCATATTTGTCAATTTGGACTAGTTGCGGAACATGGCGGCGACAGCAAGAACCTGCTGAGAGTGTCCATATAATCGCTATCGCAGTAATAATGCAGTTTTTTTACTGTAAAATGGGTGTTTGGGGTTATCTCTGCCATCAGTCCTCCTTCTGTTTAATTTGCGTGTTTATTTTCTGAATTTTTGTACCGAACCTGCATATAACGAAAACCTCTTAATAACGAATTTTTCCAGGAATTTATCAAACGAATTTTTTAAGGAATTTATCAATTTCGTTATATCCAGGTTTAACTGTAAATGTATTCATCCTTTCTGAAGAGCTTCTTTAACTGCTCATAAAAATGCTGTATAGGTTTGCATCACAGAAATAGTCTGCAGCACACAAGCAACTTTGCTTCCCCATTACTGTATTTTCTCTATCCTACCGCGCCCTCGATTGTAACGCGCACCCGATTTCCACAGCGAAAAAAAAAAAACACGTAAGACATCGATTGCAACGTGCACCCATTTTTCTCGCTGGCCCGCACGATCACACCACTCAAAAAAACGACTACTTTCGGGAGCATCTTCCATTTAAATATGAGGTACGGGCGAAGCTTGTGCCCATCTGACGTGTAACAGAGCATTGCCGTCACTGTAGTTTTACCGTGGACCGATGTCAGCACGCTAACTTGCTTCACCCCCTTCTTCTCGACGGTTGTGGTGCCAGGCATGTCAAAGTAAAGAGGCGTCTCATCGGCATTCCCGATTTGCCCAAGCAGGTAGCCGTTGTTGCGCCGCAAGTTTAGGACGAACCTCTGAAAACTGTGAAGCTTTTCATCGTACTCCTCCGCAAAACTTTTCGCATATGCATGTTCTCTTTCGGAGGGAAAAGTCTTTCCTCTTCATAAAGTTAGTTAGTCAGCACCTGCTCGCTTTAAACTGGCTCCGCATTAGACTTTTTTCTAAGACTAATTGCATAGCCCGCACTTGGAGCAGTTCTGTCGTCACGGGCCGCTGTGCCGCTCGCTGCTCAAGCACATACTCGCCGAGCAGCTCTTTAATTTGCGGAAACCGACCCTGCTGTGGTCCACTGAAGCCTTTGCGTGAAGCTTTGCTGTCGGCAATCTTCTGCTTTTGTTTCCGCCGGTCCCGCACGCACGTTTCGGAAACTTTGAACGACCGCGATGCAGCCCGATTTCCGTCCGTTTCTGCACACGCGATGACTTTTCTTTTAAAAGCGGCATCGTGGTGCACTCGAGTTTTTGGAGTCGGCCCTTCCACACCGTCGATGCTAATGCACTACTATATGACGAACTCCTCAGCACACGTACGAAGTGCCGCACATGGGAAACACATAGGCAGAAATGGCCGACGCGCCATGCCGACGCACATGGAGGAAGGAAATGCCGACGCACATAAGGGGCGGCCATTTTGGATTTGCCGATGGCAATAGATTGACCGTAATTTTTTTGTTTGTACTCGATTCTAACGCGCATGCGATTTATGAACTTGCTTAACCGGGAAAAAGGTGCGCGTTAGATTCGAGTAATTACGGTAAATGCAGAGGACGAAAAAATCGCTGTGCAGTAAGAACAGATGGTAGGGGAATAAAGAAAGGGGGGGGGGGGGGGGAGCATGTCTGGGACATAACTTAAATCTGCAGCATCGAGTATGATGAAAGGCAAACGAGGAACGTAGGATGTATTTGTGAATACAGTCAATAGTGTCTTCTAAAATATGGCAGACATGACATGACTCTGCCCTCCTGCCAAGCTTGTCTACAGGGGGCCACCTGCTTTCTGTTCCCCAAACTTGGCATCAGGTCTATTTTAGACATGTACTTGCATATGTAGTGATATAAAAAGAATAAGTATGTTTATCTCCAAAATGTAGCTTTGGAGAGGTGTCCTTAGTCCAGCATCCTTTGAACTGTAAAATGAATCATGCTTCAATACATTTCCGAATTTCAATGGGCACCCTTCATACAGCTGCTCTCTTCGTGGGCTAACAGTGTAAGCTTTGTCTTTGTGTGGATTTTCAATTTTTGTGCTTACTACGAAAAACGTGCTCTGTTGCAGGAAAGTTAACTTGCCTACTTACATCATTGCTTCTCAGTATCCTCTTAACTTGTGGGGTCTCGGCTAGGCGAACGAGCGCATCGCCACGCCACGCTCTTGGAGTGAACGGACACAGTAGACGCGGTCGGTACAAAGCACACGACATACATACATTTATTAACTAATTTAGACGACGATATCGTCCACCGAATGATACACCAATTTCAATTAACACGCTACCATACAAACAACATAATGCAGGGACACACTAAACACACAATAACATGATAAACACACCCAACACACTAACACATACCCAAGGCGGCGTCGCCAACGCCTGGCTTTCCACGTGGGACCCCGGCGCGAAGCCCGCGGTGCTGAGCACCGGGGACCCACGCCACAGACAATCGTTCGCGGCAGCCGCCACGCGCAGAAGAGGCTCGCTCAACTCTCGCCCACCACCAAGGCCTGCCTTCTGCCAGGGGCCACCGCCGGCGCTACTACTCTACCAACAGTGGTACTCAAAGCGAACTAATCGCCATCTATCGCCTGGCGGTGGTCACCACCGAAATAAAGCCTTGGGGCGAGACACGTGCGCCACGTGGCGCAGACAACTTTACAGGGGGGGGGGGGTGACAGCACCCCCACAAACTTCATTAGCGATGTGTGAATAGTAGGTTTGAGGTTCGAATTGAATACCATATTTACTCGCGTAATGAAGCTGCTCGCATAATGAACCCCCCACCTCTGTTCTTAAAAAAAGAAAAATGTTTTTGATGTATTATCTGTTCATTTTATATCGGTGTGATAGCCGTTGCTGTTTATCATTGAAGCAACATTAAATAAAGCCATGATATCACAAAATAACAATGCAATAAAAGTTGAAACATAGTTTCGCAACCATGCTAAACAGTTGCGAGCAGCGTGAGCGCGGACGTCAAATCAAAATTTGAAAGCCGCGCCTTTTGCGGCAAAGCGTCATCTGTCGAATGCAGGAGGAAAACCTCTTTGCTGATAGTGCCAAATAAGCACAGCAGCATAAAAACAAAGAAAAAAACGAAACGCACGTCGCGCGCCATCCATCTCCGAGGCCATACAAAGCGCAGCCGCACCCAACGCACCGACGGCACATCGTGCACACACGTCCACAACACACGTCGATGGCAACGCTTGTGCGCTGCCATCGAACGCTGCGTTTTTTTTGCCGGGTTTGACGTTGTGAACTTGATTAGGACAACTGCTGCGCAGGACGCATTTGACCGGTATGCTAGCTACGCGGCTGGTTACTAACAGCATGCGCTGGAGCATGGAAACTCAGCGGCTGGAAGACACTTTGGCGTCCATCCGTGCTCTTTGTTATTGGAGGAAACAAAAGGAGCTTCGGGCAACCCCAAATATTTGTCGCGCATTTCACTGGCCAAAAGCAAAGACGTCGCGCAAAATTTTCGCTGTTATAACTCCCGTAACTGTTTTCCTCCATGTAATGGAGCCTTCCCCCAGATTGGTGTCAACTTTCCTGAAAAAAAAAAGGGGGGGGGGGGGTTCATTACGCAAGTAAATACAGTAAAGATTTCGTCGAATAGTTTCTAATCAAATAGCACAAATATTGTACACCACACATTATAAATAAAAATGAGCAGCTTGGCCATGACCCAACTAACTTGTACAGTATTTTTAAAATTGGAGCTATGCATGTGTCAGTGTCACTTTTCTGGTTTGGAAGAAGTGCGAGCATATTCGACTCACAGGATTTGAATACCAATAGGGTACCTTCCATGGTGGTCTACAGGTTACTGTGTTCGACTGCTGACCTACGGTCACAGTGGCTGCATTTTCAGTGGAGGTGAGAATGCTTGAGGCCAATGTACTTAGATTTAGGTGCACATTAAAGAACACCAGATAGTCAAAATTTCCGGAGACATGCGCTACGGCGTCTCTCAACATATGGTGGTTTTGGAATGTTCAACCCAAGATATTAATAATACTAATAGGGCCTGAGTTAGTGGCCTTAAATAATTTAAAGATTTAAAGTTTGTTATACTTAGTGCGTATATGCCCTCTAAACATGCTTTGTAAATTTAAAAAAGGAAGAAAGAAATGGAATCCAGGAACATTTCATTTTTAAAGTGTGGCTTCACGGCAGTGCGAATATGTTTTTAGAGGTGGTTTCACTACATAGCAGCTACATGCTGTAGCGAAACCACTTTTTAGGTTGTTGCATGTGGGTGAAAATACAGGGTCCATTATGAAAAGAATTGCATGATTTTATTCGGACTCAACTATTCATGGCAGCGCCATTAAACAGAGAATGTGGTGGGCGGGTCTGCACTTCCTTCGGAGCCGTCAGTGCCTTCATGTGAAACACTGAACTTCGTAACACAGCCCTATGAAGCGTTCGCTTCAACAGCGATACACTGTCAAGTTATGCTTGAAACTTGAAACGAATGCCACAGAAACATTTTAGATTCTTCAAAAGGTCTTCAAGAATTACTGCATTTTAAGGTCTCAGTCCGAGAAGTAGCACAAGGCGTTCCGAGGTGGACGGGGAGGAGGTCGCTAAAGAACCCCGTTCTGGATTCTAAAAAATGACCAGAAACAATGAAAATGTAGTTCATGTGCCCGAAGTTTTGCGTTTTGACTGTCGATTGTGTATCCAGGAAATTGAGTTTGTACCGCAGGGAGAAGCTGTTATTGTTGCCTTTTACTTGAGGTGCTCAAGAGATTGAAACACTGTATGGTATGTGTTAGGTCTGCCATCAAGGACACATTTAAAGTCCACCAGGACATTCCCCTCAGCCACACGTCCATTATTACCAACTTCCTGACCAAGATCAACATCCCACAAGGTCCCCCATTCCCCTTAGAGTCCTGACTTGACTTTCTTTTTTTCGCCTACTGAAGAGAAAAGCTGGGAGAAAAGCATTGGGAGATGTGAAAAACATCAAAAAACAAACAAACTTTCCTCAGAAACATTCCTGTTAGGAACATTCCAGGGACCCATCCAGGCAAGGCAAACTCATTTCTGCAAGTCTAATGATGGAGGAGGGTGTCTTCAACAATTTGTACAGGTCCCATCAGTAAATCTATTCCTATAAAATGCACAATACTTTCATAAGACCCTGTATGCCTATTTTCGTATTGTCAATACTTCAATATTTTGAATAATTTAAATTCATGTAGAAGCGATTATGAATACTGTAATATTCTCTTGAATGTTCAAAGCAAGCCACATATGCCTTAAGGCAGGCCACTCCCCAAGTGGCACTTAAAAATTTCCATTATAAATGAAATTGATAGGTAATGTGATCATTCATTATGCATGCATTATTTGAGCATGTGAAATTTCTTGTGATATAGCAATGCGATATCATCAATACCATTCTCATGAAAGTATTCATTTTCATTCCTTTTTTAGGAAATCAAGAATTTTGGCCAAGGTGAGATTCTATTCTACTCCATAAAGTAATGAGTGTTTATTTGCCTTGTTGCTCAGCAACTTTACTGATTCTTTGCTTGTGCAGTGGTTCATGTGAGGGACCCATATACATCTCGGAGACTGTCATTGTCTTCAATTGCAAGCTCCAACTTCCATGATTCTGGTTACCATCAATCAGTCACATCCAGTCCAGTTTACAAGAGTCAGTATTGTAAGTTGCATTGGTAGTCCTTGTAAGGCACTCAAGGAATCTTTTTTTATGGCCTTGAATCTATAGTGATCTTTAATCTACAGTGCTCAAGTGCTCACCTAAATGTTGCTGCTTCGATCCTAACCGCAATGGTCACAATTTGATGGTGGCGAAATGCTGGAGGCCCATGCACTGTATGATATCAGTGCCTGTTAAAGAATGTGAGATGGTCTAAATTTTCTGAGCCCTCCTCTAGGTTTGCCTCATCATATTGTGATTATGGAAATCCACAGACATTATTGTGCATCTTAAACCTCCATATTTACTCTTGTGTTACCACGTGCATGTGTGTGTTTTCAGGGGGCTAATTAAAGTGGTGTCATGTATTTCTGGGGTCCTAGAACAGTTCCTGTATTGTGACAGCTGCACTAATTGTGACAAAATGTGCCAGAAAGTGAAACATGCTACATCCTGTTACAACTTGGAAGAAATATCATTGTTTGCATCAAGCATGTGCTAAGATGCTGTTTTAGTGTTCTTTTGGTGAGAGACAAGATGCTAAGCACTTCATATTCGTAGGTTAGTTGTTTAACCCTTTCGGCCTTTACTGCGGAACTTGCTGTGTTAGTTCTCTATTACTACTAGACCATACTGTGAGATAACATTATCATGGCCGTTAAATAAGAAAAAAGTGTGGCATGGCCCCGAAATGATGTCTTCAGCCTAGTTCTCCTCGCGCTGCTTTGGCACTAGGCCCCAGGCAGTCATTCACTAATAAATGCAGACACAGACGCATTGGTATGCATAAAAGTGACTCTAATCAAGCCCTAAATATTACAGCTTGAACTCTGAAGTCGTTATTAGAAGTGTCGATTACCCACATGTGAGCAGTTCGCCCTATGGCTGCCCATCTTTTGTAGATTAGGCCTGAATACTGGGCTGTCAGCTTGACGCACCTGAAATGAAAGGAAGTGCTTTATTACAAATTATCTCTAGCTAAAAGGCATTTCTTCATTTTATCTCTGTCAGCCTACAATTTTTTCAACAGTTCTCTTTGATGAGCAAGTTTCTTTTTCAATCTGTTCACTGTTTTCTTTGACTTTCCAAGAGATGCGCAAGATTTAATATGGTTTGGCAGGCTTGATCTACAGAATACATTCTGTGCACAATGGTGAGGCCATCTTTGGAATGAGCACTGCAATGTCATCTTTCACATGGTACAAGGAACTTTTGTTCTAGGTGCTTTCCCCTGAGCTTTGCCATACTGACAGCTGCCATACTGACAGCCATGCCATACTGACAGCTGCTGTGAGTCAAATGCCTAATGCTCATAAGTAACGGATTTGGAGCTATTGGGCGTTCTTCAATGGGGTTGAGAGCAGGCAGGTGAGGGAGCTTGGGAAGGTATCGGTACCTGTACGTAACACTCGTAGTGAGAACTTGTCACGTGCTGTTGCCTGCGAAGCGATGAGAACGATGTGGACATAGTCACGAGAAGGCAAGTGTGCGGGCTCTCGAAAAGCGCCTTCCTGGGTGGGAGTGCATCATTTAGTGAGCATTGTTGGAATATCGGAGAGGCGACCTTAGCAGTGACCTTGAGTGGCGACCAGAATAATGTACACTGGCAACAGTGGGGTACACACCGGCGACGCCGGACAAAGCGCAAGCATAAAAAGCTTGCCGAGTAAGCTCCTAAAAACTGTGTTGCTCCAAAATCTGAGTACCTGGAAACTGCATGCACGGTTCCATGAGCACACTGAAAAGTTGCACTGACAAGCTTGGGATCATTATACTATCAACAGCAAAAGTTTGCGGGACGTTGGATTCCCAACATATGCGAGTGTCTGCTATGTCAGTGTTTAATGCTTTTAATGAGGCTAGTGACTGTATAGGTCGGAATGATAAGTGCAATATGGCACATTTTCGAAGTTACATTACCAGATAAGGAGGGGATTTAAATTTATTGAACATTTTATGTCCCTCAAACTTTTGGTGTTCATAATACATTTTTATGAATTAATATAATTTAATATGAGGTAATATTTAATATGAAGTAATCTTTTAATATAAATAAACCAACAACTTTTCAATACCAACAAAAAAAATACCACGTTTTTGCCGCCAAAGCACAGGTCATTTTTGTGATTTTTAATGTAGGAATAAAAATACAAATACACCTCTGACGAAAAAAAAAATGAGGTTCGTTTGAGTCAATGTGATGGACACTCCTTTCACCTGTGGAGTCATCTCAGTTCATGTTCTGAGCAGTTGTCCGTGTCTTTAATTGCAGTCATTCAGTATTTATATGTAGAACTGACTGTTTATTCAATTTTTTTTTAGGTTGTTATGCTATTTGTTCAAGTTTACTTCTGGAATATTTCATGCAGGGGCCCTATGTTTTAAAGCCATACAATGGGCAGACTTTATCAACAATACCACTTGCTATACTGTGAATGTCACTTTCCTGAGAAAGCATGGTGTCCCAATATTCCAGTATATCTTGGCTGGACTTCTCGACCTCGAAGGTTGTGCATGTCGGACATCTTGTCAAGTGTAGATACATAGCCCTCTTCCGCATCACCGTAAATTTTGTCAAGTGCACATTAAATAGCGGCAAAGAGGGACCATTTACTAAACCCTGTCATTAACCACCTGTAAACCCGGACCCTAACATTTTTGTACTTGAGGCACAACAGCACACACTTTTCACAATGAAGGCATAGGTTGTACAAAAATCACAAGTGTAACAGACTTTTTCTTTTGGAAAGTAAATAGAATGCATGGAAAATGTGGACAGCTTCTGTCAGTACTGTAACTGAAGCATCAGGGAAAGCCAGAATCATTTACAAATATCAAGTGAATTGCTGGGAAGTATTAGGTGACTTGAGCTGACAAGGGATGTCTGCAGAAAAGCGAAGAGCAGTGACACAATTTCATGTTACTCAAATGAACGTGCATGCTTGCTTGCATGAATGGATTTCGTTTGATATGTGCTGCAACAGCTCTGGCTTATAAATATTTGCGTTTGAAAATATCCAGCAAGTAATTGCTCCAAACTGTTGTCATGCTGCTCCAAAGTGATATTTTAGTTGCTCCAGGGGCTGTACCAAAATGTCTTTGGTCAGTCGCATCACTGCAGTGGCTGTACAAAAAGACACAAATTTTTTCTGAAGAAAACAGCAGCAGTATGAGTTAATTATCTCCAAACTTGATAGAAGGTGCTGGCAAGCATTCTTTATGGTGTATGTCAGAAATGACTGCCCACTCATAACATTGCCTGTAGTATGCTTGAGCTACCGTGTTTGCTTCATAACTGAATTGGCTTTCAAAGCCAGAAGTTCATTTTGCCTGACATGGCTTTGTTAAATATTTCTTCATTTTAACATTGTTGTTCTTTATGCTTGGAGAAACTACAGTAGTTGCAAGCAAGAACTATCATTATGAATGTTAAAACTCGGCCTGCACGCATCCTCCTTGTCCTCTTCTTCTGCTTCACTTCCTGAACACGTACGCTGATTTTTCTGACGTGGGATGCAGTAACTCAGATGGGTCAGAGATTGACTACAGAGAGAGAGGGGGGAAAGAGAAGGAAAGAGAAATAGAATAAACAGTAAGAGAGAAATAATCAGACAAAATTTTCGTACAGCTCAGCGTCAGAGGCCTGCTGGGAAATGTGTGCAAGGGCATTTTATGTCTCAGTATTTGCACCATCAGTGCATAACTGCCCAAATTTTCATTTCACTCGTTTTTCAGATTCACATGATACCATGAAAGAAGAGAACAGGGGAAGAAGGTTTGAGGTATGTCAGATCTTACTTTCACAGGTATCTTTGTGCATTCCTTTCTTATACCCTCATGTTCAGCAGGCGTTAGACGGGAGTGGCAGAGTATGAATTACAAAGAGTAAATTTTCAAATATGCAAAATATGTTCACTGGGCATAGAATTACATATCCATTTTGCTGTGCCTCAAATGTGTATTATACTAATATTTGCAACTGTCCTATACATGTGATACACGTTAAAATTTTAAAAGTGAGTCTAAATTTAAAAGTGAGAAATTAAAATTTTAAAAGTACAGTGAGCACTCTACTCATTTCGTTCATTTTAAGGAGCAAAACTGAGTCAACATTCTCAGTTTCTTTTTTGTTGTTTTTCTTTCATTGCATTTTTATAGCCCTACAAAAAAACAGTACATTTCTAAAGGAACACTAATCTGCTGTATTTCTGTACGCATTCTTCATAAACAATAATAGTCTACTTCTTTTATTAAAAGTGGAAGCATTGCCAGCTCTTCGTTATGAAATGTTCCACTTTGTACCGATATTTCCTATTGCTCACTACCATTAGTTTGCTTGAAAGAATGATTCTGAAGGTTTCTAGGTAAAAATGTGTTGTCCATATGGCTCGCACATAAAGACTGCACTGCACCAAGAACTTGCAGACTCTCTGCAATAACCAGGCTCTGCACATTTACTAATGTTGCAGCTTCACTGGCTAATATGCCTTGGAAGTGGTCTATTAGGTTCGACATAGCTATGTAATATAGTGGTTGCATGAAGCAACGAAGGTAAATAGACAACATGTGGCACTCTCCTACTTAAAACTAAGAATATAATAAAAGAAATCGAAACGCGAGGGCCAGCCTAACCAACCACACAGCCTGCTCCACAACTGAGCGATTGACATTTTTTTTTTTTTTTTTTTTAAACCGCAAGGCTAGAGAGAGCGACACCACGGACCCGAGCTAACGGGGGAGTTCTACTCCCTCCCACGCCTAGCCGTGCGTGGCTTTGCCGTGTCCGGGGAAAAGGGGATCCTGGGGGTTGAGCCGACGCTGGGTGATTGGACCTTTAAGGCCCCCCGGCAGAGGCAACACACCCCTTTGGCCCCGGCTTCACGTAGATGGCACCTCTGGGCTGACCCACCCAGGGGAAATCGGCAGTCGCCTTTTCCTATCTCTCTCTCCCTATATCTTCGTCTTATGTTCTCACTTTACATCTTTCCTGTCTTCTCCTCACTTCATTTTACTTCCAATTTTTCCTGGCGGCAAGGGTTAACCTTGTGTGGCTATCCAAACTAGGGTAAACCATATTGGGTTATAGTAACTGCGTACTGCTGGCGTTGCGCAGACATGCCCACATGCTCTGCCACGTCCCCTCGTTGGACTCCGTGGTGGGTGGTAGGCGCCGTTACCGAAAAATACACATTTCCTCATGGGATCCCCGACCCCCTCTTTAACTGATCGTGCTTCGAAAAGGGTACGCACCGATGCAACATTCCTACTTTGGCCCAAAAACAAAGAAACTTTTCCAAAATACCATGTCCTCCACTGCGAACAATCATCTACAAAAGCTAGAGCAATCTCACCCTTCCTTGTAGCCAAGTGCTTGAGAGAGACCATTGGAACCGGTTATAAGGCCACGAAGATGGCAAGTGGAGATCTGCTTCTCGAATTAAAAGACAAGGAACAGTACAATAAACTCTCGCACCTCGTGGCCTTTGGTAACATCCCTGTCTCTGTGAGCGCACACCGTACCATGAATACAGTGAAGGGCGTGGTATCGTACGAAGATTTGATGACACTGAGTGAAGAAGAGCTCTTTGATGGATGGAAGGATCAAGGTGTAATACAAGTCCAGCGCATCAAAATCAGACGTAACAACAATGAAATAGCAACAAAGCACTTGATACTCACCTTCAACTCAACCACTTTACCCGAGACTCTCGAAACTGGCTATGTAAAACTCCATGTCCGACCCTTCATTCCAAACCCGAGGCGTTGTTTTAAATGCCAGCGATTTGGTCATGCATCCCAGAGCTGCCGAGGACAGCTGATGTGTGCTAAGTGTGGCACAACCGGCCACAGTGCTGATGTAGTCATGACGAGATCCTCTGTGCAAACTGCGAAGGTAGCCACCCCGCATACTCCAGAGCGTGCCCAGCCTGGAAAAGAGAAAAAGAAATAATAACTATAAAAGTTAAGGAAAATATCACATTCAGGGAAGCAAGACAACGAGTCTCGTTATCATTAGCACTAAAAACACCTTTTGCCGAAGTGGTGCAACGAGGGGCGGCACCACAAAGGCCCTTGGCAGTTGCCCGGACCTCGCCTAGCGTGCCGAGGCCAATGCCACACGCCCCTGCGGCGGGAGCAGCCAGCGCTGCCCTGCCCACTTTCAGCCTGTCCACACCAGTGACCTCTACAAGCTCTGGCAGCAGCCAGGGCAATCACGAGGCCAAGGGGGCTCCATCAACCCCCAGCTCGGTGGGGACAAAGACTTCGTCGATCGAGGCGAAGTCTAAGCGACGCACAGATCGCTCTTTAGAGCGGGTGTCCAGTGCCTCGCATGAGGCTATGGACACCAGTTCAATCCAAACGGTGCAGGAAGCGCCGAAGGAGCGGCGAGCTTCGCTCGACCGCCCCAAAAAGGACAGAACGCCGATTACAGGGCCTGACAAAAACCCTGTAAAATGAGTTAATCCCCGTCTTCTTTGCACACAGCACTTTTTCCCTTTTTTTTCCACTATGGACAAAATCATACAGTGGAACGTAAGGGGAATACTTAGAAATTTAGATGACGTCCAAGAACTTCTGTGTAAGTTTAACGCGAAAGTGCTATGTGTGCAAGAAACGCACTTAACTCCTAAGCACAAGGACTTCCTACGACAATATATTATTTTCCGAAAAGACCGGGAGGATCTTGTTGTACCATCTGGCGGTGTAGCCATTATAGTCGATCGTAGTATAGCATGCCAGCATTTGAAGCTCCAAACGGCCCTGGAGGCAGTGGCCATTCGTGCTGTACTTTTTAACAAACTTATTACCATATGTTCTGTGTACATACCACCACATCAACAGCTACACAGACGTGATCTGGAATCACTAATAGATGAACTCCCAGAGCCATTTCTGGTTCTAGGTGATTTTAATGCACACAATGTCCTGTGGGGCGATGCTCACTGTGATGCGCGAGGACGTCTCATTGAGCAGCTCCTTTTCTCTTCTAGTTTATGTCTTTTAAATATGAAGGAGCCTACGTATTTTAGCCTTGCAAGCAACACATACTCCTCCATAGATCTTAGCATTTCATCACCGTCCCTTTTTACCTGTTTTTAAATGGAACGTTCTTAAAAACCCTTATGGGAGTGATCACTTCCCAATCATCCTGAGTGCGCCGAACAAAGATCAACTACCCCCGCAGGTTCCTCGATGGAAGATTGAGTCAGCTGATTGGGAAGGGTATAGAACTCTTACACACATGACATGGACTGAGCTGTCTGCCCTGACCATAGATGACGCTGTCACGTATTTTACAGCTTTTATACTTGATGCCGCATCTGAATGTATTGCCAAAACGAGTGGCATGTCTTCTAAACGGCGAGTTCCATGGTGGAACGACGCATGCAGGAAAGCACGGACCACTCAGAACAAAGCATGGGCGTTGCTTCGCGATTCCCCTACAGCAGAAAACCTGGAAAATTTCAAGCGGGTCAAATCGCAGGCACGGAGAACGCGTCGACAAGCTAGACGAGAGAGCTGGACCAAGTTTATATCGAGTATCAACTCGTACACAGATGAGGGAAAAGTGTGGAATAAGGTAAAGAAAATTAAGGGCCAACAAACGTATTCTCTTCCACTAGTAAATAGCCTCGGGGAAAGCTTGGAGGATCAAGCCAACTTTCTTGGCACACATTTCGAACACATATCGAGCTCCTCACACTACTCCGAATCCTTCCAGAATTACAAGGCACGAATAGAAAAACAAAAGTTAGAAAGAAAATCCCCAAGAAATGAGGCATATAATGCACCATTCTGCTTAGCAGAACTGCGAACAGCACTCAACTGCTGTAATACATCTACCCCAGGTTCTGACAACGTAATGTACGCGATGCTGAAGGAACTACCCTCCGAAACTAAAGAAACCCTCCTCTCTCTTTATAATCGCATATGGTTTTCAGGTGTGATCCCCTCCTCCTGGAAGGAGGCTGTTATAATTCCAATTTTGAAGCAGGGAAAGGATCCCTCTACTGTATCAAGTTACAGACCTATAGCGTTAACAAGCTGCCTCTGTAAGCTATTTGAAAAAATGATTAATTGCCACTTACTCCACTACTTAGAAACAAACAATTTGCTCGACCCATTTCAGTGCGGGTTTCGAGAAAGTAGATCCACCACAGACCACCTTGTTCGTATTGAGGCACAGATCAGAGACGCCTTCGTCTATAAACAATATTTTCTCTCTGTGTTCCTCGATATCGAAAAGGCTTATGATACAACATGGCGTTTTGGAATTCTAAGAGACCTGTCCCACCTTGGTGTGCGCGGAAGAATGTTTCACGTAATTGAAAGTTACCTGTCAAACCGAACATTCTGTGTCCGTGTGGGCAGTGTTCTCTCCCGAACATTTGTCCAGGAAACAGGCGTGCCACAAGGTGGTGTACTTAGTTGCACACTTTTTATTATCAAAATGAATTCCTTGCACTTGTCCATCCCCCGCAATATGTTTTATTGTACATATGTCGACGACGTTCAGCTTGGCTTCAAGTCATGCAACTTGGCAATGTGTGAGCGGCAGGTTCAGCTGGGTTTGAACAAGGTCTCCAAATGGGCTGATGAAAACGGATTTCGACTTAACCCACAAAAAAGCACCTGTGTCTTGTTCTCTCGAAAGAGAGGCATGCATTCGAAACCTGACATTGAACTGAACGGTCAGCGTCTGTCTGTCAATGCGGAGCATACATTCCTAGGCTTAATCTTGGACAACAAGTTGACCTTCGTACCGCACATCAAGTATCTA